AATAGATTTGATTAACCTTTGTCTATAGACTGATTAACTTTTGTCTATAGACTGATTAACTTTTGTCTATAGATTGATTAACCTTTGTCTATAGATTGATTAACCTTTGTCTATAGACTGATTAACTTTTGTCTATAGATTGATTAACCTTTGTCTACTTTTGCTCATCCATCTTAACTTTTAATTCATCCAGTGAAAGTGAAGTAAAAAAAAAAAAGAAAATGAAAAAATCTTACCCATATTTGTTGCACCACAACATACATTTCTTCCAAAAAGTTCATCATAGGTACAGGTAAAATTATTGGGACAACTATTTGTCATATCAGTTCGGCATGATAAAGGTATAAGTGTACTTGGGTTTATATATGTAATATCGCCTGATGGACATGCTGATGATAAGCAAAAGTTGTTGCATTGATCAAGTGATGCGAAATTATTCAAATTACCACCACAACCATTATAGGTAAATTCGATACAATTTAATCTGGCTACATTGAAGTAGAAACGTGTGACAGCTGTCATACCACATGAATTGCCTTGATGCAATGGTAACGAACAAATATATGCTGTAAAGTATTTTTCATTGTATTTGCACCTATCATTTATTGGAAACTTTTAATAGTTTAATTACTTTCTTAAATTTAATTATTTCTTTTTAATATTTGATTACTTTCTCATACTATCTTCTCTTTCATGTGATATATATACCTTCACGTAATATATTCCATTGTTTCTTTCACGTAACATATGTCATTTTATCTTCCACGTAATATACGCCATCATCTTTTTCACGTAATATATATATCATCATCTCTTTCATTACTTATTTCAAACTTGATAAAAGTTAAATCAATGAAAAAATTGATTGAATCAAGATTGCTTCTTCAATCATCTTTTATTTCTTATTTGATTTTTCTTTTTTTTTTTCATTTTAATATTTTAAAGATTTTATTTTTGTATACGAGAATGAATATAGGACAATGTTTGTAAATAAATCAATTCAAAGAACTTAAACTGGAAATTAAAAAAAATAAAATAAAACCTCGTTTTGGACAACATCCATTCATGACACTGTTATTGGAAGTAAGCGATGTACATTCATGAGTACTTGGACATGATGAACAATCTATCCATTTACCAAATTCATTTCTTTTTGGGGTACCACTATTCGGACAACTGTTATTATCACCACAATAATTTTCACACTGTTCATTTGTTAGGAAATTATTCGAATTTCCACTACAACCTGAAATTTTTTCATTTCTTTTTAAGTTAAACTTAATATTTTGTATTATTTGGAAATTGAATAAATTCCATTAATTGCATTTTTAATTAATACCAATTCAGGTAAACAAGTAAAAAAAAAGATAAATTGATAATAAACTTACCATTATACAGGAAACTTTCACATTCTTGTCTTTGTGAATTGTAGAAAAAACGATAAGATGAGCCAATATCACAAGTGACACCTTTATTAAATGGCAACAAACATGTATAATCCTTTGTTGGACAACAACCCCATAAGTATCCATCAAAATGACATTCATAATTTGGTGGACATGTATCTATGGTATTAGAATTAGAACAAATAAAATAATTCCCGTGATTATCCTTGTATGCATCGCCTTGTGGACATTGTGGTTTTGCTGAAATTCATGAAATAATTAATTTCTCTTAAATATGAAATTTTTTAATTTTGATTAATTATGATATATTAATTGTAGTGATTTTGAAATTTTTACTTATAAAACTAAATCATTCATAATTATGCATTCCTCTCTTAATTATGAAATTACCAATAGAAGTTTTGTCATTTGATCATGTCGCAGTAGAAGTGCTTCTCGATATCATTCTATTGTCTATTAATTTCTAATTACTTAATTTTACTTTATAGTTTTACTACCACTGATCCTAGAAGAAAAAAAAAGAAAAACAAGATCAAAATTGTTCCCTGACATTGCTGTTTCTTAATTATTTTATAACTGTTAATATTTTTTATCGAGAAAATACTCGTTAATTAATTAACAAAAATTAATTTTTTTCATTAAAGAATTGGATAATTTAAGAGTATTTGAACAACGAAAGATTTCAACTTCCACTACTTCACGTTATTTTAACCTTCTGTAGTTAACAAACTGCTTAATTTAGACTAAATGAGACAAGTGAAGTTGCCGCTAGAAGTTTTATTATGAGATCATATCACAATTGGTAGGCTTCTCATTAACTGCTAATTACTTGATTTTACCTTGTACTACTGTTATCACTGTTCCAATGCTAATTCATAAGACATTTCATTGCAATCACTGATTTCCTTTTTTAATTATAATTTTCTCTATTCAAATTTTTACGAAAATATCAAGTATTATAGGTGTGGAAATTAAATCAATTTGGAAAAAGAATATTACGGATGACACTTTCGCATGTATTTTGACATTCGAATAACGTCTCAAAGTTATTGTCATTCCCTTGACATCCTGTATAATTGAATATTTGGCATGCATGGATCACCGCATTATACCAATATCGTCGGATACTTTCTTTACAATTCCCGACCCGTAATGGTTGCGAACAAATCGCATCTACAAAATGGTGATAATTGGACGAATTTTTATAATAGTGATAATTAA